CGGAAACTTCCAGTGGCAAATTTTAACTGTTTATAGTACATGGTGACACAGTTCTCAAGCAAGCATCTGGATATTATAAAGTGACTTACCAGATAGTAGTTGGGATGTCTGGAAAAATGAATGTACAATTTGTGTTGTGATAACTTCATTATTGGATGGTCCGCACTGACTGGCAGTAGAGGTAGCCTTTTAGAACACTCACTGGGAAGGGAATGCACAGTGCGATAACACCTTTCTAATCCAAGCTTGAATCTGAAAAACAAATTGAGAAAAAGTGAATCAATATTCAAAACTTGTTGCTGGAATAAAGATGTTTCAAACGATCAGAAAAATGACGATGAATGTGCAAACAGAAGTCCTAAACCAATAGCTTCCATTTTGGATTACATAAAACTGAGAACTAAATATTCTTTGCTAAAACAAGTCAAGATAATCTGACAGCGTGACACGCAATAGACGTACCTGATTTTGATAATGTGTTGATCCAAGTGAAGAAGATCAGTGTTCAAACACTGCTCTAAATTATCCAATAAACCAGTATCTAAGAGACATAATGATGAGTCAGAACAGACACATAAAACCATATCGTTTTTCCTTTCTGTATAATTGTACACTATCACTACATATTTGGATATTTGAACTCAATAGACCTTTCCCAGTAAATGCTTTGTGATGTCGCACAATTATGTAGACGGTGTAAGCAATATCGTTGTGTAGATGTTTGTTATATAGAACATGGGAAATCTATTATAGGAAACAATATTATTTTACATATTTAAAACATGAGGACCTGGTTAACAGTTGTCTTTCATTGCTGGAAAACGCAGTTGCATACATTTTTTTCTCCAGTGGTTATCATGATGGTGAATTACTAGCTCCATTTTGAACACATGTACAGAACGAAACAACATTATTTGAGTTGCAGGTGAGCACATGAGTGGGAAATCAACTCTGAATACTTGGATGATATGGCACTTACCACAGTATGGCAGGCATGGTTGCAAGGTGCCAGTCTGTAGATCCACTGATATACACAGTAATTCAGATTTACCACATGGTTGTAGAATGGATACAGTCAATATTGGAGTTGAACCACCTAACACAACTGAAATGAAGATAAATCATCAAATATCATATAAAGATTAGTTTTGCTATCAAATTCATATGTATTAGGGAGGTGGTCAAAATCAACCCAGTGGCTTCGAGGAGCTACTGCAAATTTATGCAAGAATATTCATGAGCTGAAAGTTCAGGCGGCACCTTGTTTTTGTAAGCAGATTTTTTTACTACAAAAGAACATAAATTGCTGTGCAAATACAAAATTCCTGAACATACATTAAAGTTTGTACATTTTTAGGACATTGTAGCAAAGTTTCTGCATGACCTAGTTTTTGGTGTTCAGTCATCAGTGACCTCTTTTCATCACAAATTCACAAAATAGTCCCGTTCATAGTCTGCAATTTTCTTCAGAAGATTGGGACAAAAATAGCCAAATTTTTTGAGTAAAAACTAAAAATTGATTCAAATTATATTAAAGTCTGTTGGCTCCAAAATTTGGGTTCATTACAAGTAACATTGAAGAATATAAGAAAAAGTGCAGACAAAATTGGGTGAGAAAGTCTGGTGGTGAAAAGGTTAAGCCCAGTTGGTCAATGGAGTCTCAGCAACATGACATAAAATCATAACAAGACATTAAAATGTTAAGAGCATTTTTTTATGTATCATTATAATACATGAAATCAATATAAATCCTTTCAAATATAATTTTATACCATTACAATTCTACACAATTAACTAACATCACAATCTGTACTCACCTTTTAGCTCAGGCATGTCAGTCTCAAAAATAGTCTTGAGTTCCTGAGATATATTGATATAAGTATATTGAATTAAACACCACAATGACACTGAACAAATTAAAAACCACAATCAATGTGTCTGGAGCAAAAAATTAGCAATTCACAGCTATTATTGAAAGGCAATCCAATCAGACTACCCCATATCAGTATCACATCAGCTTACGAAATGTTGAAATGATGATTTAATAGATTACGACAGGCAAACAATAAGCTCAACTTCGGTCTTCTTTGTTGATAGAATAAATGAATAGGAAAAAGCGAAAAAATAAAGCTGAAGAGAGAGACAGATGGTTGGACAGGTGATATTAGCAGATGCCGTCTTACCTGCAACTTAGCTCTTGATCTGACTTGCACAGTTTGTACTAAAAGCCTCTCAATAGATAGTTGATCACACTGAAGGAGAGAAAAAATATAATTATATGAATAGAGATCACTCAAACATTGCTGTACAGAGTTCAGACATTCATCTTACATGATCAAGAATCAAACTTTAAGGGGCTTACAAATTTGTCATCACCTCCTATCCACCTTGTTTGCCATCTTTATTAATCAAGGCAATGGAGGTGCGGAGCATGATCGTTACAATTACCAAACTTGATTGAGATTAGTTATTGGCAGCAGAGACACAATCATGATTAGATAAGACATATACACCACTGAACTCTAAAATCACTTGTCCCGGACTTCAGGACTACCCTTAGTGTCGCCTTGCACAGACCACAGACTGGTGTAAGTTCATGAATTTCAGCAAACCTTGAATACCATGAGAGCAGTGGCCATGGTACGATTTATAAGAGGAACATTAGCTGTCATCTAGCAATACAATTTACTAGTAGTTTGCAATCTTGCTGCCCCAAGTACTGCAACTTGTGGAAGTGTCAGCGATAAATACTACAAGGTGAAATGCACTGATTGACTGACTAGAAAGTGCAAACTAACACTATGATTCACATACCTTGATGGCTTGATCAGCTTCATTGGCATCTTCTGTACTCAACACAGGATGGTGTTTGACTTGCAACGGCTTGGAAGTGTCGTTTGGATCAATGCAGACTGTTAATGTGTATGTTTCTCTTTTGTACTTGTCAGCATGAAAATTCTGAGATCTGGAAACAAACAAACACCAAGTATCATTTCCAAGCACTTTTCACTGAAATCATTCAAGATGTGAATACAGCTGCATGTTCAGGTGTATGGTCGTTGATATTTACCTCCAATAATCTAGTGCAAGGCACTGCCCAGCTTTGTATTTCTCTATTTGTACATGTTCCCCCCATCTCTCTCTAATCAGTCTCTGAGCCTAGTAATGAAAGGTAAACAAAAATATCAACAACAATATGGTACGATGAACATATGATGCAAACTATGGACACTATCACCGAGTACAGAAGTAACTCCTCTATAAATATAAATAACATATATTAGTAACACATATGCTTACATAAACTTCAAAGGTTTGTCATGATCAAAGTTGTATTTTAACCCTCATCTGTTCAAGTTAAGGTAGAAGCTTACTCATAATTTTTGAGTAAATTGGTCATAAATCACATAACAATGTTCATTGGTCTATTACATAAATTCATGGAGCTGTTGTCTCATGACACCATGAAATAGCATTCTTTTGTGTGTTACAGCAGTGTTTTTTGAGAAACTTGTCCTAATATTTTTCAAAAAATGCTATTTTTAGAAAAGTTCTATAGAGCACAATGTAAAAGAAAAATTGCAGTTTTTGCCACTTTTTAAAACCCAGTTTTTCAAAATAATTGAGATCAACAAAAAGTACCCCACCATTTACAATATATAATTTTTTCAGCCTAGGTCACCAGCTTACAATTTAAGATATGACATATTATCTCTCCCATAGGAACCTGTAATAAAATCATTATAATACTAGTAGTGCCAAAATGGCCATTATCCACTAAAATACAAACATCATTTTCACAAAAATTAAGCTGGTGACTCCCAATTTTGTTTTAAGTCAATAAACTTGTATTGCTCGGAAGTACAATTTATTTGAAAATGAATAAATTCTGAGTATTTGAAATCATGAGTAGGCTTCTATCTTAATGTAAAAGTACATGGGGATGCCAGGCAAAGTAAGGGTTAATGATCTAACATACAATAATGCAAATTCGGTTTTTATGCTGTTCTATCTGAGATGCTCTACTAACACAGCAAATACAGTTTATAATGTTTGATAAAGAATACAAACCCGTCATTATTCTCATGAATGAGGAGGCTCTTTGTTGTCTTCAGAAGAAAAAAAAACATTGACTTTGTATTTGGTGGAAAACTAACTGCTAATTTCCCTGTATCATCACATATGGGGCATACAGAGTAGTGCACTCAGTGATAAGAGAAGTACAATGACACCACTTACCTGGGAATGTAGTACTTCCAATTGTAATGATTGACAAAAGCTATCTGTGAGGGGCTGTTAAAGAATAGACTACGGTAAGCTCAAACAAGAAATTTAGCGGGCGAGCAATTATGATTAAATCTCTGAAATTCTAAAGACTGGTCCTAATACATACAGTGTTTCCAAACTGAAATGCTGACAGTAATTCAAAATGGCTGACTTTAGAAACTTTATAAACACTGTAAATAAAAGAGGGAACTCTTAAATGTACAGAAAAGTTGTTTACACATGTTTGTTTCTTCAACTGACATGGCAACTTTCATACCTCTTGTTTATGTGTTCAATATAAAAATGAAAGGATACGAAGGCAGTTATATAAATCAAACAGTGACTTGTCATCATCAAAAAGTCTGGACTGTATTAACTGGTGGATATAATTCACCTACAAATAAAAACAAACAAAAAATGTTAATTCCGATGTGACACTCACTAACTGTCCATGTTTTGCGATATTCTCGTAATAACCTGATTATTATTATCAAACAAAACTGAAGAGTTTCCACTGGCACTACCTGCATGCTGTGTACAAGTGCCTTACCATCACCAGTCTCAGGATCTTGTACCAAGATTTCAATACTCAACAGCTCCATGGAATGCTAGGATCATCACCCATTAGTGTAAGAGTAGCCTG